TGTCTCTCTCTGTCAAATAAAAAAAAAAAAAAAATCTTTAAAAAAAAAAAAAACTGAGTGATTGAGAACAGTTTGAGGATTATAATGACAACTTATCCAAAGGAAATAAAACCACTAACTTTACTGCTGCCTTCATTTGTGGAATTGCTATCTTTGTTGTGTAAAAAGCTGAATATTTTTCATCATTTACTAACAGTGTAGTTAAAAAGGGGAACTTGGTGGTCTTGTGTCCCTGAAACACATGCATGCACGTGTACACACACACACACACACACACACACACACAAGGGTAATACTTACAAAAATTTGCTTTTTATCCTCCTTTTCAGATGTCAGTTACCTATTGGTTATTGTTATGCATTAATTAACAGTCCCAACCTGAAGGAGGGAAAGGGTAGAGGTGAATGCAATTAAAAGCCCCTTTATTTGTTCTATTTGAAGCCTAATAATGTGAGTTTATCTTTTGGTGTCCACTTCAGGGTTTGTGTGGGTATGTGTGTGTGTAGAGAGAGAGAGAGAGAGAGAGCACCCAAGTGAGCAATAACTCTTAGTTAGACATCCAAATCCACGTTCTCATTTCTTTTTGGCCACACAGATAAACTTATTCCCAGTCTCCCTTGCAGGCAGGTGTGGGCATGTGACCGAGTTAGAGCCAATGGAATAAGAATGGCAGTTATATGCACTACTTTTGAGTCTCCTAAAAAAACTCCCCTTCTAATGGGCTGGAATAGACAAGACCCCACAGGAGAAGTTTGGTACTGAAGTTTGGTATTGAAAGCCTAGGTACTAGAACACCTTGGAAACTAAGTACTGAACTACTTGTTTATTTTAGCAAGAAACTTGATTATAGCAAATATGATTTGAGCCATTATACATTTTGGGGTTGATCTGTATGGCAATTAGCCTACCCTAATTAATTTAAAATAAAAACTTATATTTGCAGTGTCCCTATGATGCACAACTCCATTGGGCACTATTTACATTGTAATGTATGTAAATGGCATTTCCTGAAGCAGCATTAAGAAGCTACAGGTATGTATACATATGGATATACATAAATCTTCATCCCAGGAGTTATGCAACAATGTAGTTCTGCCAAACTAACTCCAACTACTCTCCTGGGTTTTATTGCACACAAGCATCAATTTGTATAATATTGTATCTGTGCTAACAGATTGAGGTGGAATGGATCATCCAACAAGAATCTTAAGGGGAATGTGTATACTTAGGATACAAATCAGATATCTTTCTTAGATTTGTTCATCTGTTAGCTACCTACTGTACTTATAACCTAATACCCTCTGGTATGCATTAGGCTGAAAGAGAGTGTTAGGATCCCTCATCTGCCTCCGCCCACTCCAAGCTTACTGCTATGAGTAATACAAATTTTCTGGTTTTTACTTTCCTTATATGTAAGATGAGAGTTGGATTATGTGACCTCAAAGATCCTTTCACTAAAATTCTACTATAATATTGATATAATGTCAGTTGACATAATTGATATGTCAGTAGTTATGAAGCTATTGGTAGAAATAATTGTTAATGTGAGTGTTCCTTTGGATTCCAAACTGATTCTATAGAGGTCCTTAATAGTATCTTGGAAGTTTTTTTAAAAAAGATATTTAACTTGCACCAATTCATAATCAAAGAGGCACAACAGAGGTTCCATTCTTTTCCTAAATAAAAACTTCTAAGTTGAAAAGGTGTTTAACTCATATTTTTTAGGGTAATTTTAAAGTAGGCGTCACCTGATTTCTTTACTCATGGGTGGAAAAGTACCAATGCTAATGCAGAACATGATATCTATTGAAATAATATATTGCAAAAAAAAGTAAAAAACGAAATAGTTGATTATATAGTTGTTCACTGAATTTAGTAGTTAAAACCTTAAATTTTATTTTTCCTAATTGTATATTTCTGCTCTTAATGTTTCAATGTAGTAATAGCTAATATTATAGCAAGTTCAGGATCATGGCAAAATCACCAAAGTCATAGTTATCTTTGTTGTAATTAACACACTAAATCACATTTTTGGTATAGCTATTTGTCTGCTGTTGGGGTTTTAATCTCATGGATTTCAACTTTGGTTAAAGCTAAAATATACATTATCCAGATTTGTGCAGGCATGGAATTGGCTTTACTTCAAATTCTTTTACAGCAGGAAGCTGCAGAGATATGGACCTTACTCTGGGATGATACTGTTTTAGAGAGGAGAAAGGACAGCCTCTATCACATTGTCCAAAGTGGAGTTTTTATATTAATAGAAAGCCATGTAGAGGCTGGAGTAGGTAAGAAAGAATCATAGTGATTTTTTTTCCCAAGCAAAAGGAATAAAACAAAAAAGAAAGCCTGTAGTAGTATTTTGAGTACAAGTAGACAAATAGAGATTCTAAAATATTCTTGGGGCGCCTGGGTGGCTCAGTCAGTTAAACGTCTGCCTTCAGCTCAGGTCATGATCTCAGGGTCCTGGGATTGAGTCACGCATCAGGCTCCCTGCTCAGCAGGGGGCCTGCTTCTCCCTTTCCTGCTCCCCTGCTTGTGTTCTCTCTCTGTCAAATAAATAAATAAAATCTTAAAAAATATCCTTTACAATACTGCAGAAATTGGGAAAAAAATCTTTAGAATGAGGGCATGGATAGATACATTTTGGTATATCCATATGTTGGAATGCTGTGCAGATGTTAAAAACATGTTTTAAAAAATATTCAATAACATGAAAGAATGGTCATTAAAAACTATAAATCCTTTATCCCTATTAAACAGGAATTGATCTTATTCCTCTTCATCCCCAATATAAATAGCATAATGGAAGAGATGTTTAACAGAAAGATGCATAGATAGTGAATTTTAGGACCTAAAGTGATTTTTAGAGATCATTTAGTCAAAATCCATCATTTTGCAAAGGAAACTGATACTCTGGGAAATGAAGTGTCTCATCTAAGATTTCAATCCCTTTAGCACTGTCACTTGCTAAAACTGAGGTTTTCTTACTCCCCGAATTTGGAATGTTTTATTTTCTACTATAACATGCCACAGCAGAGATTGGGTCAGGCCAGAGTCCAGAGAGTAATGAAGGGAAAGCCAAAGTCTAGATATCCTAATCTATCCTTTCTTTTGGCGGGAGGGGGGTGGGGAGTACAGGGCATAAGGGGATGATAATGACTAATTATAAAAGATCTGTAGAGGTATCTATATGTGGACATATCTATATTTCCTAATAATTCTAAATCTTTAACTTTTTTCCTATTCAATAATACAACTTTAAAAACTCTTGGTGTAGAACCCAAATCATTTCTTTGTCTCACTTAAGTAATACTGGTAGTGGACGTGCCTAGATTACAGCTTAAGACTATTCATTTATTCATTTGCTTTTGTCTGTCTTTTCCACTAGAATATATCTTCCAGCAGGACAGGCCTATATCTTTTTTTGGTTGACTCCAGCACCTAGCAAGTGTTTGACACACCAATCAGTAAGTATTTGATGAGTGAATGAATAAATGATAGCTACTAAAAACAGTAATCCTTTATTTACTTAGATTAGATTTCTTCTGGATATTTTCTCATGTTTTGCAATTCCATCACCAGTCTAAATTAATTTTAGAATTAGGTGAAACTGCTTTGTTCATATGCTCTGTATTTCAGTCTAGAATGATAGAACTGTTTTGTAGTATTAATTTAGGCACTCTTAAAACTCTTGTGCCAAGTTTGCTTAGTTTGGAAATGACCTTGGCCTGCAATTTTATTTAGGTTTCCATCCACAGATGAATGTGTACATCTGTACCATGAATTAGTGGTGTACATGTGAGATTAAACTGATGATGAGTCAGGAGGCAACACTGTTGGGTGAGCATATCTGAAAATAGGAAAAAAGAGATGATGATACCTTAGGCTGAAATAAGTATATATTTAAACTTACATCCTCAAATTAAGTGTAAGTTTTGAACCTGACAAAAACAAGTAAATATTTTGAAGAGTGGATTTCTCCCTAAAGGTAAGATATTAAAACCAAAACCAAAACACTGAACCTAAACTTAAATGTTAGTCTCAATTTTAAAAGGTAGTCCACATGAATTTTTCTCCTTAGCTTTATTTTCAGTATGAGTATGTAGAAAATGAAAAGATTTTTTTACAGCAAAATTTTTACCAGATGAAGAACCTTAAAAATATTGGCCTTTTAAGCTCATTTCTAGGAATTTGTCCTAACTTAGGAAATAATCTGAAATGCTAAAACAGATTTAAGCATAAAAAAGTTCATAGCAATACTACTTATAAGAAACTAAGGAAAATAGCTTAAATGAGCACTTAAGGAAATACTACTCAAGGAACATTATGCAGCCATTGAAAATGTTTTTGAGGACTTTTAAATAACTTGAGGAAACATTTCTGATACATTGTTATGAAAAAAGGCAGTGTACTCAAGTAGTTTAAACTTCATAAGCTTAAAAAACTACATGGAAATATGTCAACCTTAATAGTCAGTTGCCTGTAAATAAAAGAATTATTCGTTATTTTTTTCCTGCTGTCCTTTAAAAAAGATGTTTTCTTTACTTATTTTATTTAAACATATCTTCAGAATTTTCTTCACTTACATGTACTAATTTTATAATCAGAAAAAAATCCATTACTTGTCATAGATATATGTTTATGTCTCAATGATATGTTTTCAGTGTCATCACATGAATATAAATATTGTTGACCAATAGGAAAGTTTGATATTATTTAAATTCAAATTATGGAGTTTCCAAAACAAATGCTGATACATCTCCTATAAGTTGTAAAATTATAAAGATTTAATATAATTTAGTAATGATTTTAATATAGCAGGCTCTCAATATGTTCGTGGATGATGAAGATGGTTAGAGTAAGGGCACCTCAATTTACCAAGTTCCTTGAATCTGTCAGTTAAGTAGCACCTCTCCCACCAAGGGTTTAATGATATAGTACAGTGTCAAAAAGCTGTCCCTAAAATTGCTCTTAGTTTGTATGGTGCACTTTTGCAAACTATTATTTTGTACTTCAAAAAGAAGAGTCTCTTATGTGCTAATTTTTTAAAAACACACAAGATAGAAAAATTTGTGCTTGTTTATTTTGGTTAGCTGTGAGCTTCAGGTAAGATTCTGTGATCTGACATAACTAGTATAAAAGGTTTCTTGTGGAAATAACTGTCAACAGCACTTACCTTGTAGGCTTGTGATAAGTGTTAGAGATCATGTATGTAAGGTCTCTTAGCATGCATTGCACACAGGCCTTCAGTAAATGGTGGCTATTATAATAATATATAATAGTACTGTGACATCTTACTCTTAAATTCCCATGTATAGGGTGAGCTGAAAAAATATGAATTGCAATCTATTTAAAAACATTATTCTAGACTTCCAGATAAAGATGGGGGAGTAAAGGCAGACCACAAAGTCTTCCACTCCAAATACCTTACAATACAGGAAAAACAAACAACAGTAAAAATTCCTTTAAAAACAAAGAATGTCTACAACCTAATCAATGAAGACCAAAATAATACTATTATTTCAAAACCAATACTTTGGAATATCAAGAATGGCTGGAAATCAAATTCTCAACAAAAGGGAAGACTGGCAATCCCAGCACACTCCCCTAGTCAATTCATTCTTCTATTCTCCTAGATGATTACGTCTTGTCTCTTCTCCTAAGTCTCTCACATCTCCCCACTCGTCACCCCAAACTCTTGTTTTATTGATAAATAGAAGCTGTCACAAGAAAAACTCATCTTTCTTACACCCTATCTACCAACCTCTCTTCATCTATACTTATACTTCCTTTATAAAGGATCAGCTATCCCTTCTTTTAAATAAGGCATGCCCCTTACCTGTGCCCCCATTCTATGTTTTCTTGTAAACTCAAGGATTGTGTTCCTGTGATTATTTCCTCCATTTCCTGCATCATTCTCATTTTCTCTCTCTTTACTGGATTATTCTAACCTGTAAATACACTGTAATATTTCCCATTCTAAATATATCATCACCTCCCTTCCCCCTCTACTTACTGAGTGAGCTCATTTTTCTACTCCCCTTTATAATAAAACTTTTTAGAGACTGTGCTTGCAGTTTCCACTTCCTCGCCTTACATTTTCCCTTCAGTCTATTCCATTTAGGATTACCGTTTCCACAGTCCCACCTAAACTGGGCTTGTTGAAATCACCGATTAACTTCTTGCCACATCATCTTCCTCTTCTCAAATGTTTGGGACCCCAGGCATATTCCTCACCCCTTTTTTCCTTCTCCATCAACATTTGTTTTCCCTTGGCTCATCTCATCAAGTTGTTTTTTTTTTCCTTTTTTAATGTTGCAGATGTTCTTGGGACTCCTAAAATTTGTATTCTATCCCTCATATCTCTGTTGAACTCTGAACTCATGCTCAACTGCCTACCTAGGAACCGCACTCAGATGTCTAGCAAGGACTTCAAAGTTAACACATTCAAAACCAATCTTGTAATTTTCTTCTCCCCCTCAATTTACTTTTCTGCAGGTCTTCCCCTAGGTCAATAAATGACATTACTTTCATCCCATTGCTCAAGACAGAAATCTAGAAGTCATCCTTAATTCCTTTCTGTGCTGGTTACTAAGCTGTTATCTCTTAATAATAAATCCTTCCACACTCATACATTTTGTGATGCTAGGATGGGACTCTGCAAACTACATTTCTATTTTGCCAGCTGAATCCTTGCTGCATTCTCTTAATAAGGTGTGTTAGAGAAAGACTGAAAGTCAAGAAGAGAGGGGAAAAGAACCTGCTCCTTCTTGTTGGCTTTCTGCACACGTCAGGGTTGCCCCAGTTATGGACCTTCACTGTCACAGTGGCACTCAGCTCCAAATTTCAACTATTTTCCATTCCCTAGAACCAGCCCCAACATACTGAACATACCCTGTCAGAGGTATCAGCAGCAAATGGGCAGCAACCTGTCTTCTGAGGCCAGGGTTCCAGCGTCTCCCCTTCTAGCTTCTGGGTTCTAAAAACTTCAGGTCTTCCTTGTGTTTATCTAGTATCAGGGGTAGTGGCTGCTTCCTGAAGTTACTCTCTTATTTTAGTGCTCCTTTTTTGCATTTTCAGTTCTACAGCACCTATCTGACTGATTCTTTATACTCAGTTATTGTTATTGAAATACTTAGCAGCAACCTGAATTACTCCTCTGAAGCATACATCATCTCCCTCCTTCTCATCACATTTAGAACAAAATTCAGCCTCCTCACAACCCCTTTTGTGATCTGGCCTGTCCACTTCTCTAGTCTCATCTCTCACCACTTTCTGGTTACTCATTTGGCTTTAATAATTCTGTCTTGAACACACACCACTTTCCCACTACAGGACCTTTGTATTTGCTCTTTTCTGCATCTGGATTGCCCAGGTCTTTCCCTGGCTTACCCCCTCACTTAATTCAGATCTCTTCTCAGGTGTCATTTTACAGAGAGAGGCCTGCTCTCACATTCCATCTAAAATGCACAATTCCTTCCCCCATCCTTCTAGTTTCTTACCTGGGGTTCTTCTTATTCCTACCTGACACTGTTACAAGTTTATTTATTTCTCCCTCCCCTATCCCTAACTAAAAGCTTCATCAAGGCAGGAATATGATCTTATTTACCACTGGTGCTGGCACTCAATAAATTCCAGCTGAGAAATGAATTTAATAAATTGTGGTGCATGTAGGAGAGAAGTAGACCAAAGTAACTGCAGAATCAATACAAAAATCATGTGAGACAAAGATAACATAATAAACCTGATTCGTCTCCGAGTACATAATACAACAAATGAATCAGAAAAAGCACAGAAAGATGTAACAGATGAGAATTTCCACCAAATAACGAAAGACCTGAACCTGCAGAAAAATAATGGACACATAATATTTAGTATTGAGGCATATCCTGGTTAAGCAACTAACCGTAGAGAATGAAGGAAAAACTTCTCAGAACTCCAGGCAGAAAACTAAATAACTTATCAAGAGGGAGGAAATCATGCTGGCCGTAGACTTCCTCTAAGCAATATTCAAAGCCAGAAAACAAAGGAAAAACGTCTGTACAGTTTTGAGGCAAAGCCAGCATGACCCCAAACTATTACATCTAAATAAGTGTCATTTGAGAATTGATGAAAAGGCAAACACAGCATCCATGGATACATGTAGAGGAAAAAACCAAAACCAAAACCAAAACCACAAACAAAACAGTGAAGAACAGATAACTGATCAATCAAAATTAATAACTAGGATATTGAGAATCAAGCTATGTTGTGAGCACTGGATTAAGATACAGACCAAGACCAAGTGATCAAAGAAATTAGGATTATAAAACAAATAAACATTAAAACCTTGACTTTGTAAAAATAGTGATGTAAAAATACATTTTTCATAGCAGAGTCTGCTAGTATTTCTAAATTTGAAACATAGATTTAAAAAGGCTCCAAACTCTTTTTTAAACTTCAGGTATTTTAGGAAATAAGATCTTTTGTAGTAAAGAAACATTTTTCTGAAAGTTCAGCAATTCCTTCAGTTTATCCTACCACTACCAAATTAAAATAATTTTAAACTTAATACTTTTAACTCAAATGTAATGTACATTTTCTGATCTTAAATAAGATTATCTTATTTGTATAAATGCATAGAAATGCCTACCATGATGTTCATTTAAAATTGATGGTAAAATCTGGAATCCGAGATTTTAAAACATTCCTGTAACTTTCTATATTGTTTAAACTATTTATAAGTAAACCTGTATTATTTTTATGAACATTTATTATTTTTATAAAAACACTATTATACACAATGTGAATATACTTAGTACATTTAAAAATGGTTAAGATGGTAAATTTTATGCTATGTGTTTTTTGCCACAATTTAAAATAAAAATTTTAAACATACTGTTAGAAAACTTATAAAATAGATCCAGCCATTATAGCTTTACAGATGGATTTTGACTATGCTAAATTTTTCTTAAATCAGCTTTTCCACCAAGGTTACCTCTCAGATTATACCATTCACAGAATACTGTCTACTTGCCTATACCTTATCTAATTTAATTTTAGAAAGCAGAGATTACTCATTGGTAGACATTGTTATAAGTATACAAAATGAAAAAGTACTTATAAAGAGTAACTAATATGATGTGTTACTTTATTAAATATCCTAGAGTTGTAAGAATGTAAACATATGTCATTTGATTTACATATTTGGGAGGAGATCTTTTAATTTTAGTGATTTTTTTCTGTTAAAATAATTTGTGCTCATTTTTTAAATTTTTATTTTATTTTTTTTAAAAGGTTTTATTTATTTATTTGACAGAGAGATAGCAAGCACAAGCAGGGGGAGCGGCAGGCAGAGGGAGAGGGAGAAGCAGGCTCCCGGCCAAGCGGGGAGCCCGATGTGGGGCTTGATCCCAGGACCCTGGGATCATGACCTGGGCTGAAGGCAGATGCTTCACGACTGAGCCACCCAGGTGCCCAATATGTGCTCATTTTAAAAAAGAAAAAGTAAAATTACTATAACCACATATAACACACTTTGATATATTTTTCCCCATCCTTTTTCTATGCATATAAATAAGTGCATTTTCAGGACGCCTGGGTGGCTCAGTCGTTAAGCGTCTGCCTTCGGCTCAGGTCATGATCCCAGGGTCCTGGGATCGAGTCCCACATCGGGCTTCCTGCTCAGTGGGAAGCCTGCTTCTCCCTCTCCCACTCCCCCTGCTTGTGTTCCTGCTCTCGCTGTCTCTCTCTCTGTCAAATAAATA